CACCGATTGAGTCGTTTCTACGTGTACAATTCCGTGGTGTGGAGTCCGCTCTTGGAGTTGTGCACCCATTCTCACCGTATTAACATGGACTCACTGCCCCATAAAGCTCCTAGCTAACCTTTTGAGTTTCTGTTGTCAGTCTTGTCTGAAGTAGAAAGTTCTTAAAAGATAACATTGCTCAAGGCAATGTATTCTTTCCTCGTTCATCCAAACTATTGGCTGGTGTTTACAAGACTTCAGGGGATATTTTTAGTTTGAGAATTAAAGATGATCTCAGAGGAATAGCATAGGGTTCAGTCACCTTCCATGGCTCCAGAAAGTCTGGAGTTCATGAGATCTTGAAATTCTGTTCTCATTTTCTCCCTTTTGCTCAGGATTCTTCTATGGAATCTTTGACCAAAATATTCAGTGATGTTACCTGGGCGCCATCCAGTTCTTCCTGGAGGCAAGTGGTGAGACATTCCATATCCTCAATCCATTGGTCCTGGTGTCTGTTGCTGTACTAGACCCAGACTTTGTGAACCCTGCTACTTTGTTCTTCTCTTTCAACATTGTTTTACCTATTCAGGGCCTCTTGCCATAGCATTTAAAGTTGAGGGCTGCTTTTTGTATCTTTGTAAAGAAGCTGGCTAGAATTTTGATCAGGATTATATTGAATCTGTAGATTGCTATGGGTACTACTGAGATCTTATCAATATTAAGTCTTCCAATCCATGAAATGGAACATCTGCTTATCTAAGTCTTTAGTCTATTTCAGCTATATTTTATGGTTTTCATTGTATAAGTCCTTTACACCTGAGGTGCTTTATTTTCTTAGGATACTATTCTTTTTTTTTTTAAGGTTTTTATTGTGGATTGAGTGAAAGTTTACAGGGCATATCATCAGTTTTACATTCAACAAATCATACACCTTGTTTCATTACATTGATTATAATCCCCTCCATGTATCATCAGTTAACAGTATTTCTCTCTATCCACTTCAGCTTTTTAAAACAAACAAACAAACAAACAAACAAACAAACACTCAGGCATATATAATAATTTACATCTCCAAAGGGCACATTCTGCAAGTCTGCTCCTGGCCACTAGCTTCTTAAGTCCATGAATCTAGAGTCCTCAGCCGCTCCCCCTCTCCATGCCCCCATTTCTGCCTTCATCTCTGGCGCTGCTGCTTTCTGGATAAGGTCCCTTTTTTTTGTTACAAAACTTCTACATTTACAATTGTGACAGTCGCGATCAGCCATGATAACAATTATTCATTATTGAATTTTATCGCCATCTCTTTTCACCAGACCCATCTAGACAAGATGACATCTCTTCAGTGGGGACTCTTTCTTTCCCCCCATACTCTTAAACTAAGCTCCCTCTTGAAATCTTATAAACCAGTCACTTCATGCCTTTATTGCCCCCTCTATTATTAATTGTTTGGACCTCTTTCTGTAGGTTTTGAATTGTTTCCAATGCTGTATCTATCTTACTTAATTGTTCCTGTAGCACTTTCCTGACTTCTTCCTTATTTTTCTCAACTCCAATGTATAGTGTTTTGATACATTTTATAATCATTTTTCTGAATTCTTTCTCTGGCATTTCCAAAGCCTGCCCATCTTCCAGTATGGAGTGTAGGTCTACTTCTAGCTCATTTGCCTCAGTCACTTTTTCTTGTTTCTGGTCGTGTGCAGATATATGGTCATCTGCTTCTGTTTTTTGGGCATCTTCAGGGGTTATCTATGGCCTTAATACTTAGATGGGTGTGTATTTTGGTATTTTTTATGCTTTCTGATTGCCTCCAGGTAGATGTGATCAGGAAATGGGCTTCCCTTTTCACTCTTCTTCTTGAGAAATTTCAAGATGCCACTGTTGGTCATTTTGACGTAACTTAGGATTTAATTTTCAGCCTATTTGCTCTTTTGTCTGCTTATCCTGCTCCACAATCCCCGTTCAGGTTTTTTTTTCTAGTTATAAACAGTTCAGGGCCGGCTGTGGCCATTTGGTTTTAAGTGGAAACTGTCTCTTTAAATTTCGAGGAGATCTGTGCGCATGCGTAGTAGAACCTCTGAGGGTGGGGATGGGGTGTCCACTAACTCAGGCACCCCTATTGTCACCAGAATGGAAGTGCGCAGACAGCAAGGGACCAGTGAACAGATAACAAAAGAAAAGAATGTCCACACCTTTATGTGCGAGGTTCTGCCAGGCATCTGTGGGTGCTCCGATCCTTCCTCCGCTTGGTCTCACACAAGATGGTGGCTCCTAGTGCAGCTGAGCATCTTGAATTAGAAAGCAATGGGTTTCTTGCTTCTGCCACAAATTCCCCCAGCTATAAGCCTTCCATCCTTCTAAATATTCCTTTATATGTGGTTCAGAGTTCTGGGACCATCCCCTGAACCTGCTTGGCCCGGTATTCTGTGTTGTTGTTGACGGAGTTCCTTACTGCACTTCCACCTGGTCCGCCATCTTGTTTGTTCTCTAGAATACTATTCTTAGATAGTATTGTAAATGGAACTATTTCCCTCATTTCTCTGTCAGATTTCTCATTATTGATATATAGAAACTCAACTGCTTTTTGTTTGCTGACCTGGTGTCTTGCAACTTGGCTAAATGCCTCTATTAGCTTTAGAACTTTTTTTGTGGACTCTTTGGAATTTCTTCTATATAGGATCATATCATCCATGAATAGAAATCATTTTACTTCTTCTTTTCCAATTTGGATGCCTTTTACTTATTTTTCTTGTCTTATTGCTCTGACTGGAACTTCTAATACAATATTGAATAGGAGTGCTGAGAGTGGGCACCCTTGTCTTCCTCCTGATTTCAAGAGGAAAGCTCTCAGTCTTTCTCTATTAAAGTATAGTGTTGGCTGTTGACTTTCTATCTATTCCCTGAATCCTCTTGAGGAATGCCTTGTATTCCAATCTTCTTTAGAGTTTCCACCAATAATATTGAGTTTTATCAAATGCTTTTTCTGATTATGTAGCTCTTTTCCTTTGTACTATTGGTGTGATGTGTTTTATAATTGATGTGACTGCCTTTATAATATTAACCCATCCCTGTATGCCTGGAGTAAATTCCACTTAGTCGTGGCTTATGATTGTTTTAATGTACTGTTGAATTCTGTTTGCCGGTGTTTTCTTGAAGATTTTTGAATCTGTATTTGTGAGACACTGGCCTGTAGTTTTTGTTCTTGTGGTATCTTTGTCTGGTTTGGATATCAGGGTTAAGTTTATTTCTCTGTCCTTTGCAAGTGTTTAAATAGTATTAATGTGTGTTCTTCTCTAAATGTTTTTGGAAGTCTCCAGAAAAGCCGTCTGCTCCAAGACTGTTTTTTGTTTGTTTGCTTGTTTGTTTTGGGGGGAGGTTTTGGATCACTACTTCAATTTGTTCACTTGTCTGTTGAGACTTTCTATTTTAAAGTACCTATTTTAACAACTGAGAAAAGGAGGATGAGAATAATTTGCATAGCTTGAAGAATTCATCTAAGTCCCTAAATTGTTCATGTAGAACCTGTGGAATTGGTGTGTGTTTATATATATATATATATATATATATATATGGAGCTCTGGTAGCATAGTGGTTACGAATAGGGCTGTGAACTGCAAGGACAGCAGTTCGAAACTACCAGCTGTTCCATGAGAGAAAGATGAGGCTTTCTGCTCCTGTAAAGATTTATAGCCTCGGAAACCCTGTACAGGGTCTCTATGAGTCGGAACCAACTCCATGGCACACAGGCACCACCACCATATATATATATATGCTCAACAATGACAACAAAAGAAAATGTTTCAATTTTAAAAAGAACAAAGGCAGGGAGGGGCCCTATTTTTGGAAACTCTGACCCTACTTTACAGAGCCACCACCAACAAAAACCAGTCATACCAAACCCATTGCCCTGAAGCCAGTTCCAACTCATAGCACCCCGACAGGACGAGAGTTTCCAAGGCTGTAAATGTTCATGGATGCAGCCTGTCACATCCTTCTCCTCCAGTAGAGCAGCTGGTGGGTATGAACCACTAACCTTTCAGGTAGCCACCCAGTGCTTAACCCACAGTGCCACCAGGACTCCTGTGCACAGTACACAGTGATGAAAACTGAAAACAACCCACTCTCCATTGGTAGCACACAGGAGAAGTCCAGTGAGCACCAACCCCCACGGAGGAGCCATTAAGAAGTGGGACTCAGGGATTCCGCGTCCTTACCAGAATGTCCCTAATCTATAATTACTTACATTGCCTCTGCGCTTAGGGGAAGAAATCCCCCAAACCATTTAAAGGGTGACTTGTACTCTAAGGGACAGCTCCAGGGGGGAGCTGGGGGGTGGGAGGCGTTTAATAAAACCTGTTTGGTAGTTTAAATAAATAAATAAGTAAATAAGTAAGTAAGTAAGTAAGTAAGATGTGGGACATATATGTGCACCGAGTCCAAAGGAACATACAGGATTTGCTATCAAAGGAAGAAGGGCAAGCTGGCAAAACAGTGTGCAGAGTATGATGTCATTTATGTTAACAGTAATAATCAGCCTCCGAGCACTTAATCACCATGCCACTAGGCCTCCTGTGTTAGAGAGCAGAGGATTATTTTTACCTGGCTGGCATGACTCCCTTGTGGCTCTTGGGTTTTGTGGGAGCAATTAGTGCTGGCAGTCCACCTATACAACGTCCTGTTCTCTCAGCTGGGCTGGGCTGGGCTAGGCTGGGCTAGCGCTCTGCTCTCAGGTTACAAGGAGAGCTTCTCTGCTCCAGAAACTTCTGCTTTCAGAGTTCAAGCCCCCCTCCTCCCTTCCCACTCCCGGCTCCCCAAAGACCTCACATAAAAGGCCCAGTGCCTGCCGCGTACCACTAAGATTCATGCTCCAAATTGGGTTTCCCATGTTCAGCTTCAGTCTGGAGGGATTTTCCTCACTTTAGTTGTATCTGCGCTGTGGTACCCTTCCTAGGGCTAAGGTGCCATGGCCAAACAGGCCCCCACCGGCTTGCTGACTAACTGTGTTGTTTCTGTTACTCTTCCAGCTCCCTGGAGGCAGCCGTTTCTCTTGGGGGTGAAGACTTGACCCCATTTTATGGTCTGTTGTCTGGTGGCAGAGAAGGACAATTCTACAGGGTAAATGTCTTCAGAGCAAACACTTCCTGGTAACATCTAGTTAAACAAACACTCCCTCTTAGTTTTCCCCCAAAGCTGTCTTTCCCCCACACTGAGCTCAAAATGGGCTTTCAAACAAATGTTCTTAAAGTCCTTAATGGATGCTTCAGACTTCAGCCGCAACATGTGTTGTGTTTCCGCTGTCTTCCCCCGCAGGAGCTGGAAGACTATTTTTACTATTCTCAGCTCCGCAGTCAAGGCATCGACACAATGGAGACCAGAGAGGTGTCAGAACACATCTCCCTCTCAGAGATCCCTAATGTCATGAGGGCCATTGGCTTTTACCCCTCCGAAGAGACGGTAAGTGAACTGAGAATGGGAGCAGTGTGGGATGTTCTATTTGTACAAACTGACCTCTGGGAGCACCGGTTACAGGTCAGAGTAAGGATTCCACATTATCTTTACATCAGTCAATAGATCAGAAAGAGGGACCTGTGCATTCCAGATGTCCTCATGTTCCTGAGAAACAGGCTTGCTGGAAAGGTCTGGAAAGTTCCTTACTGGCCTTTTATGTTGGCATGAGTGTAGGGGTTAAGAACTCGAGTTTGGGAATCAGAAGGTGGAGGGATCCAGCCCAGGACCAGCCTCGCAGAGGCCAGGTGAGAAGGTCTGTTACACAGGCCTGCAGCCCAGGGAGGGAGGGCGCGGGGTGAGAGCTCCGTAAATGGTGTTAGCAGTTAGCAGCAGGATTAGTATTACTACGCTCACGCTCACAACAGAGTCTGCATCAGCCTCACCGTGCTTGTGGGCACACCTTTGAGAGCTCGGCCAAGGGACTCCGAAGCCGCCATTGTCACAATAATCGCAGCTGTGAGGCTCTCCCAACAAGAACAAGAAGCACTCAGTTGTTGAAAATGCGCTGGATTGGTTTTTACTTTCTGACTCAAAAGATAGTGCGCCTGCTCCTCATATATTGACATGATCTGTACAAAGACCAGATTGTTACGTGAAAACAGGCATTATGGGAAAATGGAGACTGGCCACATGAGATCACAAAGTGGGGGTGATTGCACCATACACAACTGACAAGCCTCTGAGACCCGTGGCCCAGACAAACTGACATATAACCAGAGCCTTTCATAGCTAGGCTTCCTGTTGCCTCAAACCTCACTCAACGTTCCTTGCTGACAAAATTACATCATTAATAACAAAATATTCAGATAGTAGACATTTTACTTGCTGTAAATGTGAATTGTCAGATAGTGAGGTAGTCAGTAAGTGAGGAGTTAAGTGTCCATTCTCATTACAGAAGTTCTGGAAAACACATCCAAGTGTCATGAAGAAAATAATCATTTATGATCCTACTGTCCAGACTTAATTGTAGTTGCTGTTAGGTGCCATTGAGTCGGTACCCACTCATAATGACCCTGTGCACAACAAAATGAAACACTGCCCGTTCCTGAGCCAGCCTCACAATCATTGCTACGTCTGAGCCCATTGATGCTGCCATTGTGCCAATCCATCTCATTGGGCATCTTCCTCTTCTTCTCTGACACTCCACTTTACCGAACACGATGCCCTTCTTCACGGACTGGTCCCTCCTGACAATATGTCTGAAGTATGAGAGACAAAGTCTGGCCATTCTGGCTTCCAAGGAGCACTCTGGCTGTACTTCTTCCAACACAGATCTGTTTGTTCTTTTGGCAGCCCATGGCACTTTCAATATTCTTCTCCAACACCATAACTCAAATGCATCAATTCTTCTATGGTCTTCCTTATTCACTGTCCAACTTCCACATGCATATGAGGTTACTGAAAATACCATGGCTTGGGTCAGGCGCACCTTAGTCCTGAAACTGACATCTTTGCTCTTGAATACTTTAAAGCGGTCTTGTGCAGCAGATTTGCCAACTGCAATAAATACATCATTTGATTTCTTGACTGCTGCTTTCATGAGTGTTGATGGGTGATCTGAGCAAAATGAACTCTTTGACAACTTCAATCTTTTCTCCATTTATGTGGATATTATTTATTGGTCCAGTGATGAGGAATTTTGTTTTCTTTGCATTGAGGTTCAACCCATACTAAAGGCTGTGGTCTTTAATCTTCAGCAGTAAGTATTTAGAATCCTCTTTGCTTTTAGCAAGCAAGGTTGTGTCATCTGCATATGTCAGGTTGTTAATGAGTCTTCCTCCAATCCTGATGCCACATACTTCTTCATATAATCCAGCTTCTGAGATTCTGTGCTCAGCATACAGATTGAACAAGTATAGTGAAAGAATACAACCCTGGCATACACCTTTCCTAATTTTAAACCCTCCACAGTTAATAGCTATTAATATTTCCTGTTCTTTTTTCCATATACACACATATGTTGTTGTTGTTAGCTGCTGCTGAGTTGACCCCCAGTTCATGGCAAGCCCGTGCACAATGGAATGAAATGCTACCTGATCCTGCACATCCCCATGGTGCAGATTGGACTGTTGTAATCCATGAGGTTTTCCTTGGTTGGTTTTTTTAAGGAAGATTGCCAGCCCTTTCTTCCTGGTCTATTTGAGTTTGGAAACTCCACTGAAACCTGTTCAGCATCATAGCAACACACAAGCCTCCCAGAACGGAAAGGTGTGGTAGCTGCTCACAAGGTACATTGGCCACCATATCCCACATGTTGTTGTTGTTAAGTGCTGTCAAGTCGGTTCCAACCCATAGTGACCCTGAACAGGGTTTTCGAGGCTGTAAATCTTTACGGAACAGAAAGCCTCATCTTTCTCCCGCGGAACAGCTGGTAGTTTCGAACTGCTGACCCTGAGGTTCGCAGCCCGATTCGTAACCACTATGCTACCAGATGTAAGAGAAGAATTCTACCACTGACGGTTATCAACTCCTGCCATGATATGCATGTAGCATTCCTCAGGCTTCATTGGTTATGGAAATTTTCCCTCAGAAACCCACTTCAGAAATGCTGCCAGAGACACTCACTTGGCTTTCATTTCTTCTGCATGCTGCTCTCACTGTATCTGTCTCCTGCTTTCTCTCTCTTTTAACCACCGTTACCTTAACTGAATGCCTCATCTTCTCTGGATGACTGGCTTTCAGAACATCTACTTCTTCAAGACCAAAGAAGGAAAAGCACATCTTGATGGAAAGTGCAGGATTTGGAAACAGGAGGACCACTTGGCAGGTCAGCAGGCACAAGTCCCTGTCCTGGAGGCAGGACAGAACTCTTACCTCCTTGGACACTGTGAGCACAGGGGTTTGTGTCTTGAAGTACACACTGCCCAGAGCAGGTGCCTCACCAACAAAAGCCATCCTTCTCCCTTCAGAATTTCTGTCAAAACTATGCATCCTTCTAAAGGGATTGATGGGCTGCCTCTTTCTTATTTTTAACTTTTTTTACTGCGGAAAATCCCAAGCAGACACCAAAGTAGAGAAAACAGCATTATGAGCTTCGTGAACCCGTCTCTCAACCTCAGTGGTTATCAACTCCTGCCTGCATCCCCTGACTTCCCTCTGCTCCCGGGTTCTTGGGAAGCAGACGGCAGACATTGCCATCCGTCAGGGGTCCCCATTGACAATCTGGCCTTGGAGAGGAGCCCCTCCATCATAGTGTGGTAGCTGAGAGTCCGTGAAAGTCAGCAGAAGCTGTGGTTGAGTGCTTACCTCACATCCCTTGGGTAAGGGTATGGGTGCCTCTCCAGTAATTCAGTATGTTATAGGAAGGCAGAGGCCAAGGGGCCAGGACACAGGCTCCCCACGTCAGGGGCCAGGGTTTGATCCCAACAGCTTTACCACTCTCAGTGTTAAAAGTTGGTTATGTTTCTGAACCTCTCCAAGTATCAGTTTCCTCATTTATTTAAAAAAAAAAAAAAAAAAAGAAATACGGGTGCTGCCCAGTAGACTCCGACTCATGACAACCCTGTGCGTGTCAGAGTAGCACTGCGTTCCATAGAATGTTCTGGAAGGACATCACCAGGCCTTCAGTGGACTGGGACCGCCAACTTCTCGGTTACCAACTGAGCTTGTCAAATGTTTGTACCACCCACCGTCTCCTTGAGCACCTATAAAGTGGGAATGATAACAGGACCTACCTTTCTGGGATGGTTGTGAAATTCAACCAGGCCATGCTATCAGGAGTGACCAGTCCCTCAAGAAGGACATTGCGCTTGCTAAAGCAGAAGGTCAGCAAACAAGAGAAAGACCCTCAATGCCATGGACTGACAGTGCGTGCAACAGTGCCGCCAACAGCAACAGCTGCGAGGACAGGCAGTGTGTCTTGTGTTGTTCGTGGGGTCCATGGGAGTTGGGATGCACTAGACAGCACCTATCAATAACAGTGTTTACTACAGCATGGGGCCCATGTTCAATGTGTGGGAAATTCTGTGAATTTTATTGTCTTTACCCTCAGATCCTTGTCTTTGGGGTGGGATTGGAAAAGACCTATGGGACTGTTTCTCAGACCTCATCGTTTGTCATTCACAATACGCTTTCTAAAAACCGTGAGTCAGAGTTGAGGAAACTTCCCATACTTTCTGTCAGTCCCACTCAGACAGCTTTCTCGTCCAGGGTGCTTGCTTTTAAACCCAAGGCACAGGTAACGTATCCTGCTCTTGGGGCTGCATCATTGACAGAGGAGTTCTGGGACATGGGGGGGAGGGGTAGCCCTTGCTACCATCACCACCCACCACCCAAAATGCTAAAGAAAGCAGGTGAGCCCTGAGCAACCAGCCTTTCATGTGACGCTGTAGGATAAGCGCTGGACTACTAACCACAAGGTCGGCAGTTCATATTTACCAGCTGCTCCTCAGACACCCTATACAAGGTTGTTCAGTTGGAACTGACTTGACGGCACTTACCAACAACAACATAAAAGTAAACCAATGTGCCTGAGTGGTAGAATTACCGAACTCGACTGCTAACTGAAAGATTGGAGGTTCGAGTCTCCCCAGAGGAACCTTGGAAGAAAGGCCTGGTGATCTACTGCTGAAAAAAATCACTTTTTTTTTTTTTTTCTATTAATGTATCTTGTTGTTGGGACTATACTCAGGAGAGTGTACACCAATTTAACAATTTCTACATGTAGTGTCTAGTGACATTCGTTCCTTTCTTAAAGTTGTGTGGATATATATTTTTTTAAATTTTTAAATAAAAGAAAGTCTAGTCATTGGTGGCAAGGAGTTCTGGTAGCATTGTGGTTATGTGTAGGGCTGCTAACCTCAAAGTCAGCACTTCAAAACTGTCTGCTGTTCTGCAGGAGAAAGATGAGGCTTTCTGCTCCTGTAAAGATCTATGGCCTCCGCATCCCTATGCAGGATCGCTGTGAGTCGGAACTGACTCCACGATACAAAACCACCAGTCATTGT